TCTTCCCCAGGGCAGCCAGGGGCGGGTGAAGACGACCCAGGCTCTTCTCTGAGCGCCTGGGAGGCCTCCGTGATCGGCGCTGACCTGGCCCAGGACACGGTAGGGGCGAGCTGGGAGGGAGGTGGGGGTCTGGGCCCGCTGGCTGCCTGGGGGTCTGCGGGGCCGGGTAGGCGGGGACAGACGGTCACCCTAGTGGCTGCCAAGACTTCTCTCCCGGTCAGATGTGCTAGTAGGTGTTTACGTCGCGGCCTTTCCCCGGGCGAGCCCCTTCCCGGACTCTGGGACGCTACCCCGCAGGCCAGGCGGTTGTTCGATGCGTTTACTGGGAGCTCGCTCTACACAGGCCCTCGGGACAGCAGTGTGTGACCCAGTTCTGACGGCAGCCGAGAGGCGGCCTCATAGTGACCACATCTTGTGAACGAGGACATCGGGGGTCGGGGAGGGCGTGTCATTGGCTCGGGGTCACAGGCAGGTTCCTGTCCCGCCTGCCTGGCCATCGGAGGCGTCCGCAGGCGTTTACATGGCGGCCAGGCCGCACGTGCACAGGAACAAGACGGGGGTGAGCGGTGCTGTGCTGACCTCTTACTTATGAAGCTGAAGCCAAGCGGGAGGAAAAGGGTTTTGGAAAAGTGGCTTTTCCACACGCCGGTCAAGAAAGCTTTTCTGTTTTCTGGCTTTTTCTCGAAGTGCGTTTGACAAGGGCACCAGATTAGATGTACAGGCAGACATGTGTCTGTGTGTCTCTATACACGTATACTGCTCTTTTCTATCCTCACCCGAGGACATGTTGCACCGACTCTAGAGAGAGGGAAAGAGAGAGAGACACACACACACATCATCAGTCGGTTGTCTCCTGTACACAGGGATCGAACCCGAAACCTAGGGATGTGCCCTGACTGGGACTCGAACCCGCAGCCTTCTGGTGCTCGGGACGATGCTCCAACCAACCGAGCCGCCCAGCCAGGGGTCGGCTGCTCTTGACTGAAGCCTTGCTCACGATAAATGACAGGGACATGGCCAGGCATGAATTCTCTCACTGTGTCCATGGTCTCAGACCCACCTTTCCAGACGTGTTCACGAAGCCCTTGCTCAGGCCTGTGAGCCACACCTGCCTTATCAGCTTCAAATTCAACAAGACGTTAAAGTCTCATCTTAAAACACATTCCCAGTTGATCGTGGCACATGCGTCACCCCGGTTCCTAACGCCAGCCCCGCCGCAGCCGCCCCTGTGACGGCGGTGGCTGCATTTCCCTTCAGACCTAGAACGAAGTCAGGAACAGTTCCACGTCTGCCCAGCACGGCTCGGCTCGGGAAGCTGTGGGCTTGACTTCTGCTCCCCCAGCCCGCCCTGCCCCAAGCCCCGCCCGGCAGCGCCGTCCAGCCCGAGTTTCTTCCTCATGGCACCTCTGCCCCTTTTCATTCTGGTTCTCAAATCCTCTCCTGCCGCCACAGAGCTTTCTGTCCTCCACAGAATCACACAGATCGTGGCCTGCTGGTGGCTCAGTGGTTGGGCATTGACTTAAGAGCCAGGAGGTCAATAAAAGTGTCATTAAAAAAAGAGAAAGAAGCGCACACATTGTGTTCTCACTCTCCTCTGCCCAGACGTCCCCCTTGGCTTCGTGTGACGCAAACCCCTGGCAAACCCGTGGCTCGCACGTGCGTGGCAGACCCCGCCTCTCGGGAGGCATCGGTGCCCTTTCTCAGCGACCTCGCCTGACCCTCGGTGACACTGAGTGCTCTCCTTGCCCCTCTCGCAGGTGAGGAGGCCCAGGCTCTGCCGCGCTGACCCCGCCCCACGGGCGCTGTGACCGGACTCCCCGTGGACGCTGCGGCCCTCTCGTGGCTTCGAGGACCCGGGGATGCTACTCAGGGAAGAAGGTACCTCGGGCGGAAAGCACAGCGAGGACGAGGGGTGAGGCCGATGGAGCGCACAGATGTGCCCCTGCCAGGTCAGTGTGGACGCCTCGGGGAGTCGTGTGTAAGGGCAGGTGGGTGCCCTGACGGCAGCGGACTGTCCTCTCAGCGTCTCCGTAACATCCGGCTCCTCTTTCGCCTGCATGGGTGCCCTCTGTCTGTTGGTGGTTCTCCTCAGTTGGTTTGTTTCTATTTTAAAATATATTTTTATTGATTTCAGAGAGGAAGGGAGAGGGAGGGGGATAGAAACATCAGTGATGAGAGAGAGTCATGGACCGGCTGCCTCCTGCACGCCCCCGGCTGGGGATCGACCCACAAACAGGGCCTGTGCCCTGACTGGGAATCGAACCCTGACCTCCTGGTTCCTAGGTCGACCCTCAGCCACTGAGCCCCGCCGGCCGGGTGTCCTTCCTCCATTTGTTAACTTCCCAACAGACATTTCTGCCAGAAATCTCAGGCGACGCAGCCGCCCTTAGCAGTCCCGTCTCCGCCTCAGACCCCGTGGGCCCTGTGCTGACCCTGACCGTGTGGGAGAGAGCCAAAGGCCGACCTGGGAAAGGCACCTCTTTGAAACGCTCAGGGACCGGGCGTATGGCGTCTGCCTCAGACACGTGGGAGGATCGCAGCGTCCCTGCGTGAAAAGGTGCTGGGAACCCACACGACCTTCTGTGGTCAGCTCCCTCCTCCGGTTTGGCCTCTCTTTCCTGAGGCGTTAGCCGCCGACTCTCCTTGTGTCTTTATCCCGAGCCCATAAAGCGCCAGGCTCCCCATTAAAGTGAGAGGAGATCAATGACACCTCCCCCGCCCGCCTGCTGGCTCAGCACCGCCCTGGCCGCTCCCTCCTCCCGGACCAGGGTGTCTTTCCACGCCCGGCCGCTCCTATGCCAGCGGCTGCTTCGTGGGACCGAAGGCTTCTGGGGGCGCAGAGCAAAGCTCCGTCTCAGATGCTGATGGCTGGTCCCCGACCCTGCAGCCGGGCACAGGGGGACCCTCAGTGCAGGAGGAGGCATGGCCCCAGCCCTGCAGGGCCAGGGGCTGAGGGACACAGGCCGTGCGTAGGATGACACCGTCCGGCGGACACTGGGTCCCCTACTCTATGCCGCCCAAGGGTGCCTGGGTGTCTGAGCGGCCGAGTTCCTGCCGCCTGGCTTGTTCCTACCAATGCAAGCAGACCCTCCCCTGACAGCTTGCGGCTCCAGGGGCTGGGAACTCCCCGCCACCCCCGTAGGCAGCCTTCCCGGCAGCCACCACCGCCTGGCTCTCCAGAACCATCTGCAAGGGCCCGAGAAGCCAACCAGAGGGCCCTCAGGCTCAGGCCTCGTAGGAGACCCTCCCCTGGGCCTGATGCCCCTTGCCCCATCCTCCTCCCTCCCTTCCCTCCCTCCCTCCCCTCTCTCCTTCCCTCCTTCCTTCCTTCCCTCCTGCCCTCCTGCCCTCCTGCCCTCCTGCCTCTCCGGGGTGGCCTCGCTCCTCCCTGCAGAAGGACTCACCCGCTCTCACCCAGGAGGTGCCACCTTGGGCCTCCCCCTCTGTGGGGCAGTGCCTCCGCCCCACCTGAACGGGGAGCCTTCATTCTTAGGGGCGGACTCCAGAGGGTAAGGGCTCAGCATCTCAGGTGTCAGGGCCCCTTGGGTTCGGCCGCCTGCCCGGGAGGCCCAGGAGCCAGGCAGGAGGACCGGGTGGGCCTGGACGGAACCGTGCGCAGAGGCAGACAGGACAGGGTCCCGGAGCCACACGTGACGCCGAGCTCTGAGGTCAGACTTCCCTCCCTGTTCCCTCTCGAGTCACTCAACCTCTTTAGGTCTCAATCCCATCAGCTGTGGCAGGGGCGGGGGCGGGGGGGCGGTCAGTAAGGAGGGGCCATCTTGCCTGATCTCACTGCAGGCGGCGGGAGACTCGGTGAGGAGGTCCCAGGCCTGGCACCGGGAGCCTGGAGCACACCCACTGCGGGCAGGATGGCCAGCAGGGAGGGCGAGGAGAGCCACCCAAGGCCAAGGGCACCGTGTGCGAGAGTCGGGCAGGGAGCGAAGGACAGGAGCCAGGGCAGAGGGAACGCGCAGGAATCGCGCAGGAGCAGGTCTGGGCATCGTGCGTTTCCTGCATCTTCTCTGCCGCAGCAGCAGCAAAGTGCGAAATGCTGTGCGAGTGACTTCCTTACAGAGGCTTTATTGATTTCCGAGAGGAAGGGAGAGGGGGAGAGAGAAACACCAATGATGAGAGAGCATCATGGATCGGCTGCCTCCTGCACGCCCCACACTGGGGATGGAGCCCACAACCCGGGCCTGTGCCCTGACCAGGAATCGAACCCTGACCTCCTGGTTCATAGGTCGACGCTCAGCCACCGAGCCACGCCGGCCCATGCGCACGCCTGGGAGGAAGAGAGAACCAGGAACTTAAAGGAGTGAAGTGATGCTGAAAACTGAGCGAGGAGCCAGACACGCTGGCGAGGAGGCTGCGGGCGCAGCCTGATCTCTCGCTGAGGAACTTCACTTCGTCCCCGGGGCAGTGGGAAGCCGCTCCAGCGTTCAGACAGGGGAGAGGCGTTCAGACAGGCTGTCGCGTGGACAGCAGGCGGCCAGGCTGCGTTTGTACCTGAAGTTTTCCTGGGACCCAGCCAGGCCCCTCCACTGGCCGACGGTCTGCAGCGGCCGCCTGCCCCCAGGGCTGAGGCG